CTGCTAAAGGTTGTTAGCTACTAATTGCTACATTTCTAGAACCCATTCATGATATCAAACACTGGTGGCAGAAACTAGGGATCCTCGGCTAATTAGGGTGACACTGACACTCTTGTCCTGCAATGTTCCCAGTACAGTGAGTGCGTGTACGTTTGAGTGTGTGTTTGAGAGGTAAAGATATAGAGTTTTAACATGCTTGTTCACCATGCATGCGTGTGCCAGTGATGTTTTATTTAGCTTTTAGCCTCTTGATACAAGCAACAGCTGGCAAAGGGTCCATTTTCCTTTGTCTCCCACAGGCTGAGGCCATGCACTGTCCTTATAGAGGGGATAATAAATGCATGATTCGTGGGATTTTACCCTCCAGTTGGCATCCAAAATCTCCACGAATCCCCTCTCAGATGAGACGAGGCAGAGGAGACCTTACATAATGCCTAATGAGCAACGGGAAGCGCTCCAGCACTCTTCTAGCCTTTAATTTCCACCTCAATACTGAGCAGAGCACGCCCCAGCCCTTCTTCTAGCCTCATTAACATGTGTATTCTCCCGATTCAAACACCAAAGCACTTCCTACGGCCAGGTGCTTCCCTCTTTAGCCCCTGCTGTTGATCCAGTCTCACGTCCCCGTGTGAGCTCTACTAGAATTAATGATGAGTCATGGTAAGGATGTAGACTGACAGAATAAACATTGTACACCTTTAAAATGGCAGACGGATCCGGACAGACCTTTTGTAATTTATTTGGCATCTGCATGCCATTACTGTATACCTTAATGCAGGCTAGATAAGAAATGAGTTGATGATGGGAAAAAGTGGTGTTTTGGGTTTAACTTTATTTTTAATTAAAAAAGAATAGAGCTTAGCAAGCCAATATAAAGTCTGATTGAATATTTTTAAGTGCCCTCTGTTTTAGAATTGTACAATAGTGAGTACTTTAGAAAATCAAGAAATACATGAAGATACTATTTCATTATTATTAGGTACATTTAAAAAAAAAAAAATGTGTTAATCTTATTTTCAGTTAATCCATATGCAAAGATAGATGCCACGCATTTTGCTCCCTACCGTATATGCTGGGACACATTTCCAACACTGCCAATGCAGTCTAACTGGTCAAACACTTCAGGTGGTTTTAGTCATCTGTCTGCAGAACTCCTGTCTTTTCCCATTTTCAAATTCAAGTCAGTCTCTCCTTGGCAAGTGTCAGTTTCCCCTGTCTAAAACAAGTTTGAATAATTTCCACAACATATTTCAGCAGGGTGGAAGATTTTCTTCTCGTGGGTCCAATCCAAGTAAAATACACTCATGAACTAGGAAAACTCTTACTTCAAACAGCAAGATGTTGCACAGCAAGGGAAATTTGGTAAACACAACACACCCTGGCTGTGAGCGTTGCACGGCTGCAGAGGCAGAATGGCCGCAGTGACTCCTGCGATTATAGCAGCGCGGCGAGGTGACCTTATTTCCTAAGGGTGAATGAGCTGTCACTACCTGGAGGCTGCACAAACCTTTGATGCCTTCAGCCACACACACCTTAAATTTAACAGGCCATCCTTTAAAATAAGATGAAAAAGCATAAAATAAAAAAATATACGCAGTGCAGAATGCCAAAATAAACCCAAGAATTTATAACTTAAAAACAGAACGAGGGAGATAAATAGGAAACATGCTTGTCATTAAAGCAATCAAATATAAATAAACATCCATGAAATAACTGAATTTGGCTTTAGCAATTGTACTCTACTCTACCGCTTCTCTATTTGCTGTTGCAATTGATCATGAAGCGGTTGCCGGGCGTGCCCACACAGCTCTTGTGTTGTAGGGCTTTCTAATTAGCAGGCTATGACCGATGACCCAGGACAGGGTATGATGCGTACCTGCCTCTGGAGCTTTTGTAAACACTTGGGTGTGTTTTTCCCTTCGATCATTCTCTGCTTTGCCATAGGTCAAAAGAAAAACATGTCGAAGCCCTCCCCTTCAGTCGCTCAAAGTTCAGTACTTTGTCTCTTCTTGTGGCTGTTCAACAAGTTATTTTTAGAAACTTTGAATATAATGGTGGATCTATTTTTAGAGTGTCTGGTTTCAAAGGCTGAACTCAGATATTAGTCGAGTCATCTTCATTATCTTGTCTGATTTTAATCTCTCTGGTTTGATTAACAAATGTATTGAAGGCCAGGTAAACTTGCAACAACTTTCTTGAAAACGAAGAACGGATGGATACCTGAAACTTTAGTGTTTGTGTGTGTTCGAGTGTATGTTTGTGTACATTTCCACATGTGTGCTCACATGGCAGGACATTTTTCTTAAAACACTTTGGAGATGAAACTGATACAGCCTCTCTTGTCTGTTGCTGATGAAAGCGTTGAACTTTGTCACTCAAGAGCATTTCATCTCTACATGTCATTTTCATAAAACCTGATAGGGCATTTGATGACTGTTGCACAATATGTTTGCATGTCATAATAGTAGCCTCATGAACTGAAACGCAAGACTGATAAACTAAAAGATAATTGATAATTTCTGTCTTGCTTTTTTCTCTGTCTCCTTTCAACCCTGTCCAGCTCTCTCATCTCTCCGAGTCTCTCTCTCTCTCCTCTCCCCTCAGCTGTTCCATGCCCCTGCCCCGCTGGGATTGATACAATATTTTCCGACCTCAATTAGCAGTGAGCCTGTTGACTAATTCCAACTGTTTTTGCACCTGAGAGGGAGTTGGGAGTTGGGGCTGGAAAAACTGAGTGGGGTGGAGGTGAAGGCTGGGTGTAGCATGCAGAGCTGTCGGGGCAATATAGCTGTGTCGACAAGAGTGTACAGGCAACACAGAGGACAAAGGAGGGGTCGACCAGACTTCTGGGCAGTTAGGAAGCTGCATGCAAGCTCAGGTCAGTCCTGAGCTCAACTACTGTAGGTTAATCTGGCACAGAACAACAAAATAATGTGGAAACTTCAATACAAGCTACAACAGTGCGTCCAACATTATGTATGTCTGTATTTGTCTGTGTGCATGTGTGTGTCTTTTCAACCACTCAGGAACTAAAACGTATTTTTGATTTTATATCAGATATAAAAGTATATATCCAAAGCATTGATAAAACCCAAAAAATAAATGTGTACTCTTTCCTGTGTGACACTTGCGCCGAGGTTGCACACTAGTATATCTGCACACTGCTCTTGTCATTAAATATGCACAACTTCCTGCTTATCCTGCCACTCTAATCTATAACATGGCCACCGTATCAGTATCAAGAAGTTGTCTGGGTCAGGAGGTTTCGAGTCTGATTGGAGGCCTCCTTATGGGATGGCAGTAACGGTACCCTTCGCACAGACACAGAGTGAGACCTCAAATCGGCCTTAAACCAGATCCGTTGTGAAGCGCAACCATAGACTGACCACAAGGGCTACATGACCGCTGGGTTGGCGCTGTGCTCAGCTCAGGGTGCAGGTACACACCCTCTCTCTGTGTGAGCGAGCAGATAGAATCGTTCTTTCCACCAAAGGAAATGAGAGGATGATGGCTAAAGTGTATGAGGACATTATATTTAAGGGGACTGCACTCTTTCAAAGAGAGCTACTGCAACGACGTAAGCCCTAATGACATTACTATGGCAAGAGAAGGCATGCATTTCACAATCCTTAGCCATAACTTTTGCTACTTTCCAAAGATTCTGAACACTTGCCTCATGTTGCCAAGTTTGTGTTGCTGCCACTCTTCCAGCATGACCTCTGAGGTGTCAAATTCATGGATAGTTTGGGAGTCATATTTTATTATGGTAGCTGACATACAGTATATTACCACTAATAGGAGAGAATAATGTCCCAAGTTGGAGATCCCACAGGTCCAAATGTAACACCGTAATAATTCATCTCAACCTGAGTTTCTACCAGTGTGTGTGGCTTTAAAAGATTCTGCCAGGTGACTAATCCCGACAGGTTAACAAATGTCATTCAGTCTGCAGCTTGGAGCTTATTGAAACAGTGGCAACAGACTGGCTGGCTGTTAGCTGGACGCAGCAGCTGCTCCAGCCCCAGTAGCTGTATGGAAAACTCTGACTCACCCACTTGCATAAAAAAGGCATTAACGACCAAATACATAAATATTACCGGCAAAGGCATAAACGTCTCTAAGGGCTATCCAGTCCGTCAGTCAGCCAGGGACTAATGGAGATGGAGGTCAGATCACGACCAGAGTCGGCTCGTTTGACCTGGTCAAGCATCTGAAAGACGCCCATTGATGGACACGCTGAAGAGGCAAGGCTGCTGTAAGAGCAACCTCTTCTCAGGTGTCCCTGACCCGCAGATACAGAATACAGAATAATTTATCTGAAACTGCATCGCTTCATGCTGAATACTTCACGTTAGGAAATGTTGTGTCTAAAAAGATGCCAAGATGCATTATTGTCTGGTGTAAGGGGGAGCCACATACATTATAGAGAGATTTACTATACAGTTATGTTCAAGGAAAAGTACAAATGCAGGTCGCATGAAGCTCTAAACTGAAGCTTTTGTTATTCAGCACTTTATATTTGGCTTTAAACAGCAGTCTCGAAATGTATCACAACCATTAACAATGCACATGTATTTGTGTTTCCACACAGATTTGTTGGAGGAATGTATTTTCCTTGTACACCTGCTACTTACAAATGATGCACTTTCGTCACAGTTTTGACAAGTTAATCCCCTGTGAAACTGAAGCTTTTTTTCCAAGCCCAGTTCACACTGCCAACTGATGCTCAATGTCTCTCCTCAACTCAGCCTTCTTGTGCCGACAGTCCCATGAGGAGTCTAAATCCACTCTAGGGTATTCCCTTCTTACCTAGCAACGCATCTCTCATGCACAAATAGCTCAGCAGTGATAGAAACATAGGATATCCCCGTGCACTGCTATAAAAGAGAAAAAGATAAGAAAGTACAGCCATAAACATAAAACTGAGTACATCACAGGGCATCCTGTCCTCTCTGTGACACCAAACACACATTATAGATACAGAACTTAAATACACTTAC